ATCATATTTCTGTGCAAGATTCCTGCCGCCTGGTTCATGGCCTGCATCATATTCACGGGCCCCGAGCTGTACCCCGGCTCGGAGTTCACCTGCGACACCAGCTCCCTGGAGGGCAGTAGCTCCAACTACAGCGTCTCGGATAATCAGTGCTATGTGATGGATGAGGCCACGGGCAGCAGGAGCGATTGCGAGCAGTTTTCCTACGTGTCCAGCTTTGACTCCCTGATCATGCAGTTCAACCTGGTGTGCCTGAGAGACATCTTCGTGGCCTGGACTCAATACTGGCATCTCTTTGGTGTCCTTGTGGGCGGCGTCCTCGGTACTAAGATGATGCTGGGCATTAGTCCAAGGAGCACCTACTGCGTGGGAGCTGTGGCCCAGATTGTGTGCGGCGTCGTCACAGGGTATGCCAGGGACTTCAGTCTTCACTGCGCCTTTCGATGTCTCTCCGCTGTCTGCTGTGCCATCATGTTTACCGCTGGACAGGCTATATGTGAGTTTTACCTATCGATTACTATGTAAAGATCTATAAACTCATCTCTCTCTAGTTGCGGATATCACTGCGGGAATGCATCGCATTGGTGCCATCATCCTGTACGATACCTTCTGGTCCGTGGGGGTGATCCTGTTGCCCGGCCTCTCCTCATTCTTCAACAGTTGGTCCCTGATCTATGTGGGCATCACCTTCCCCACCGTCATGCTGATCGTGTTGCTCTACTGGACTCCCGACTCTCCCCGCTGGCTGCTCCGACATGCTGTGGACCGCTTCTCCATCGACAACGTAGAGCAGATTGTGCGCGAGGGAGCGGCGATCAACGATCGCACCTTTAAAATACCACCCGACTTTCGGCAGCAGTTGGAGAATCTCAGCGAGCGACTCAAGGCCCAACCGCCACCAGCTCCCTGGAAGGAGTTGTGGGCGGGAAAGCGGGCCAAGACCCACATGATCGCCGCTCATCTGGCGCTGGCCTTCTTCGTGATCAACTTCATGGGGATGCTGCTGAACATACGATCCTTTGGCAGGGACTACCTCGTTCCGAATACCATCGCCATGGGTAAGGGACATCCAGCTTTGACCGTGATCTCTGATATAAATGCTCCTTCCTCCCACAGGATTCTCTGAGATCATTGGCTGCTTCCTGGCCTTACACTTCACCCTCAAACACAACAAATGGAAGTGGCAATGTGCTGGAGTGTTCAATATACTTGCCGGAATTCTTGGCTGCCTTGGCTGGATCTTCACCAATGCAGATCAGAGTAAATATCCACTGAATCCTCCACTCCAACGAAATCTTAAACCCATCTTTCTTTCTTTCATTAGTGGATGCTGATCTCAAAGTCAGTTTGTGGATGATCATTGCCACCATTCCCAAGGCGGCTGTCTCCTGTGCCCAGTCCATGATCCTTGCCTGCATGAATGAGCTGATGCCGGCCAATAAAAAGCAGCTCTTTGTGTTCTCCGTCGTTACCTGGGCCCGTGTGTGGCTGCTGTCGGCACCGTTCTTCAACGTCCTCAAGAAGATCGATACGGCCATGTCGCTGACCTCGTACTGTGTGTTCAGCATCCTGGGTGGGATCTGCACGAGCCTGCTGCTCACACCCAGGACCAGCGTGGCTCCAGTTGTGCCCCAGGCAGCGGTGGAGCAGGGCGACAAGAAGGAACAGTCGCCCCTGAATGCCCCAGTGTGGACCATTGAGTCGGATGTGAACAATACACGATTGTAGGATGGATTTGGAGATCCTTTTTTGATTGCCAGCTCCTGGATAGCTTCGGTATTACTCAGCTAATGAAACAACAAACATTCTTCTGTGATTAGGTTAAGTGAATTGTTACTCTAGATGTTTTCAGTTATTATAAACATAAACTCTTAACATACCATAGTACATGTATTTCTTAATTAATTTGACTAAAATATGACGTAGATAAGCAACATGTAAAAGCACAAATGAAGAAATATCCAGACCCAGTAGACCCTGTAAACAGAGGAGAGTATTACTCATAGAACTAACAGGAAAGGGTGGGGGCACTCACTTTGTTACCATAAGCTTGTTGGAGTCCACGGTGAAGTTTTCCCGATGCAAATATTTGTTGATGCCAATCATGTGACGTCGCACATAGTCATCGTAGTCGAGGTCTTCCAAGTTCCAGTAGAGCATGGAAAAGGTGCCATTATCGATCTGTTCTTTGAAGTAGAAGCGACTTTTGTTCTTGAAGATCCATTCGTTTAGCGAAAAGAAACTCCCTAAAGGCAATCGAATTATGGTTGGAATTTCTAGTCATATCCATATGAGGCTTACCTGCCAGACAGGCCTGTCGAAACTTCTTGGCAATGGGCGTGACCATGCGCTTCTTTTGGGACAGCAGAAGTGTGCGCAGATCCATCAGCAGGGCGGGGACAAAGTGGAGCAACCACACGGCCAACTCATGTCTGGAGGCACTGCGACGGTACTTGAAGTTGGGGAACATGATCATACGCTTGGTGGGATAGATTCTGGACCACTTCATGGTGAGCTCCCCCAGATGCTGCCACGTGATGGGATTGGTCACACCCGATGTGGCATTACAGATGCTCAGACTAAAGGGAAAGAGAATGATAGGGTATCATAATCAATCAGTGGAACCCTTCATTTTACCTACCTGCCCAACTTTGCCTTGTTGATCATCATGATCATGGCATTGACCACAAAGTCCACTGGAATGATGTCGCATATCATATCCTTGTCCCCCAATATGCTGCTGATTCCGCCCTTTCCGATCTCCATCATGATGCCACTGATGGCCTGGACGTTGTCAATCCAGCCGGGATACGGCTCCCGATACGCGGCCGTCACAATCGAGGGTCGCACAATCACAATGGGGATCACATCCTTGTAGGCATTGACAATCTGCTCGGCTATGGACTTGGTGAATGTGTAGGTGTTGACATGCGGACCCTTGATGTAGTCGGCCAAGTGGTTTAGGTAATCGTCGGGCACCTTCTTGGTGCAAGTGAGAAACTGTCGCCAGTCCACCGGCGGCAGCGTGGGATACACTTCCTCGTCCACATACTTGCGACCCGGATTGCAGTACGCCGTCGACACGTACAGAAAGCTCTGTGGGAATCGAGATCATCAATCAGTCAATCAGTCAATCAGTCCATCAATCCTCTGGAATGGCTTACTCTCAATTGTGTCATTTCTCTGCAGAGCTCCAGCAAATTGTATGTCGCCTGGGAGTTGACACGAGCTGCCACCTTGAGGCACTCGTTGAAGCGCACCTGTAAACCGAACACTCGTTTCAGGTGAGGCAGCTCTGGAGAGGCAAACGACACCACACTTACCGTTGCCGCACTGTGGAAGATAATGTTCACCTCGCCGCACAACCTGGCTCTGTCCGGCTCCGATAAACCTGTTGATGGAGGCAGCCCCAAGTAGAGGCAGAGTGGTTTAAGGTGAATTTTCCCTCATTTCAATTTCATACCAAAATTGTCGTCCTCAATGTTGCCAGCGAAATGGAAGATTTTCTTCAGTCTCTCCGGATGTTCGGCTCGCAGTCGCTCGAAGATTCGATTCTGCAGAAACGCCTGGAATCTGTCTTTCACGCTGACCCCACCCTTGGGGCGGATGAGCATGTAGATCCGCCTGATTTGCGGAAAACTCCAGAGCAGCTTTTCCAGCAGGGTCTTGCCCACGAAGCCCGTGGCACCTGTAAGCTCCGTGATTAATCTCGACTACAGAGAGATCTGTGCCCCATTTACCTGTTATAAAGACCACAGAATCGTGGTAGATATCCATCTTGTTTTCCACTTTAGCGTTTTCCATGGTGCGGCCACTTGGAAGCCACAAATGCAACTAACTTGGCCGACACTTACTTTCCACCAGCTCTGCCCGCGAAACCAACACCAACTGGCTCTGGGAAAGCAAAGAAAAGCTTTGGTCCTCCAGAAACAAGTTTTCCATGAAATTGCAAGTGCGGCGAAATACATTCGTCCAACGAAAGTAAACAATTTTCAGACGTAACACTTGGTCACAAAAATATACTATTACATCACGTATGGCCTCATATGATAAGGCTCGGTATGCTGGCATTCCAGTTCACTCGAGAAATGGGGCAGACAGATCTCACTATAGAACTAAGGATGTATCCCATATCTACCCCATAAAAAAGAGGCTTCAGAGCTCATTCAAGAAATGGGACAGAGAGTGTGATTTCAGATATGATCTCACTATAGAACTAAGGATGTATGGATATCGGAAGAGGCATTTATTCCTGATAAACATCAGAGTTCATTCAAGAAATGGGGCAGAGAACTGAAGGTGTATCCCATATGTATGGATATTGAAATAGGCATCAGAGTTCATGGTAGAAATGCGACATGGAATGTTTATTAAAAAAATTCAGATAAGATATGTGATATATGGTCATTCGGTGTATGACCAATATTTGAGCTCATTCGGAAGTTAATTAGTGAAAGAACTCATTGAAGAGATGGAGAATGGGATACTCGTATAAGATATATGGAAATGTGTTTACAACCATGGGGAATACATGAATGACTGGATGAAGAAGAGATTATCTCTGGCACTTAGAAGTTTTCCAAAGAGAAAACACATATTGTGTAGATCAGTGTATATTCTCCATAACCCATAGTTGATAAAGCTTTCCATTAACCATCATCCGATTATCGATTGATTGACTTAACCAATTGACTATCAATAATCACATCAATCACCTGCTGTCTGCACACAGTCTCCGTGGAAAGTCTACTGCCCGGTGGCTTAGTCCGATTTATGCGCAGCCAAAATAGATCGTTCCCGCTGGGCAGATCAATGTTTGCGCCATCATTTAGGAACATTTTTTGCGCTTATTTGCGACTTGATTTGATTAGCGACGACATCGGAGGCCGGCACAGATCGCCCTCGAGCTTACCTGTCCGAGTGAGGTGCTAAGCGAAGTCGCAGTCATGCTGGAGGGTTGGCGCTCTCAAGACGTCGCAACTGAATTTCAAAGCTAACTTAGGATGCCGGAGCCTGGTAGCCCCAACAGTGGCTGGAAGCCGAAGGTCCGACGCCACTCGCCCACGCCCCAAGTCCTGGGCCAATATTCTCACATCTTCACCTGCACCGATCCGGAGGCCAATGAGCAGGCTACTCCACCACCGACTGGGAATCCATCCGCAGACGTTATTGGGCACTTGCTGGGAGACTTTGGGCTCTGGCAACTGCGCACGCTGCTCATCCTGTTCCTCTGCAAGATACCCGCCGCCTGGTTCATGGCCAGCATCCTGTTCACGGCCCCCGACATCTATCCGGAGGAGGAGTACAGCTGCGACACGAGTTCCTTCGATGCCGTGGCCAACAGCTCTGTCTCCCTGGACCATTGCCACGTGATGGTCCACTACGGAGACTCCGGCTATGCCAGCATGCACCGCTGCCACCAGTTCCACTACAGCCCTCTGAGCTTCCACTCCCTCATCGTTGAGTTCGATTTGGCCTGCCTGAGCGACATCTTTGTGGCCTGGTCGCAGTACTGGCATCTCTTTGGCTTCTTCATGGGTGGCGTGGTGGCCACCAAACTGCTGCCGGTCCTGAGTCCACGCCAGATCTACGTGACGGGCATCTGGTCGCTCCTCGGATGTGGCCTGATCACGTGCCTGGTCAATGATTTCAGTCTGCACTGCGCCCTGCGCTGTCTGGCGGCTATTGCCTGCTCCTTCATGGTCACCTCGGGAGAGGTTATATGTAAGTGATCTTTGAAGATCGGAGGAGATCTGATAATGACTATTCCTCTTTCACAGTCAGCGACATCACAGCGGGCAAGCATCGTTTGGCCGCACTGCTCCTCTACGATTCCTTCTGGGCCCTGGGGCTGATCCTCCTGCCCGGGATGGCCTCTTTTGCGCACAGCTGGCGGCATATTTACTTGGAGATTACCCTGCCCCTGCTGGTGATAGTCTTCCTGCTGCCATGGACCCCCGATTCCCCGCGTTGGGTGCTCCAGCACGCAAAGGATTCCCAGTTAGCCGTCGATGGGACTGTGGAGCTGGTTCTCGAGGCAGCCCGCATCAATGGTCACTGGTTCAACGTCCCCAAGGACCTGCCCCAACAGTTGGCGCTCCTCAGGGAGAAGATGCTGGCGCAGCCTTCGCCAGTCTGCTGGCTGGACCTCTGGCGAGGGCACAGACGAGCCACAATCCACCTGGTGGCTGTGCACATGGCTTTGGCTGCATTTCTCGTGGTTCATGTGGGTCTGCTGCTCAACATTCGATCCTTTGGCCGGGAGCACCTGCTACTAAACACTATGACCCTGGGCGTGGCGGAGATTTTGGGCTGCTTTTTGGCCATGTACCTGACCTTCCATCACTGCCCCCGCAAGTGGCAATGGGCTGGAGGTCTCTGCATCTTCGGAGGTGGCATTGGGTGCCTCTGCTGGTTCCTGAATGGTGAGGATGTGCCCGAGGTGTACGAGATCCCATTGTGGTTGTTCTTCAGCACCCTGCCCAAGGCAGCCGTCTCCTGTGGCCAGTCCATGATCCTGGCCTGCATGGAAGAGCTGGTGCCGCCAGAGCACCGAACGCAGTTTGCCTTCTCTGCTCTCACCTGGGCCAGGGTGTGGCAGCTCTCCGCCTCCCTTCTCCTCCTGCTGAGGGAGGTCGGCAATAGCCTCTCCTTGACCGCCTTTTGCGTGCTGGTCATCCTGGGTGGCCTTTGCACCTGTTGCCTGGCCACGCCGCAACAGGCACAAGAACTGGAGGGGGTTTCAGTGCAGAAGAAGATAAAGCAACGTGCTGGATACGGTTGCCATAATATCATTCTATAAGCCTTTATTATTGTTACTTTAAACTCGTATTTTTAAGGATTTTAACCAAGTATTTCTAAACAAAATAATGAACATCAGTATTCGAATTTAGCTCGATAAAACTTCTACTGAAACGAGCTATGTTTTTATCAATATCGATATCAAAGGATCCTCCAATAAGGAATAAAAAAACTCAAGAAAGGTTAAAAAATACAGGGAAATACCTGAAATATAGAACATTGAAATATGATCTCCCCACAAATATATTTAGTATAAGTTTCTAAGGAGCTCCTAAGCTTCAGAATTTAAGTTAAAAAAAAAAAATTGTTCCTTAAGGAAATTTTCATTTTAAATTTAATTAAAATTGAAACATTTTCAGCAGATTTCTTCTGTTAGTAAAAATTTAAATATATATGAAAAATTCCACCTCATTTCTTCATTTGTTAAAATGCCGTTTATATTTCTCGTTTTCCCCAAAACCAAATCCATTTCATACCAATGTTCGACCCCACCACCAGAGACTGGCGCTAAACACATTCATCCACTAAGCTGACACATATATGTATGTACATCTATATATGTACAAATGTATGTATAATAAGCACACATGCCTCACCGAATATCCAAGCGCATTGCTCCACTAACAGCATATTTCTATTTGCCACCTGCCACATTCCCCATTGTATCCGGCCCGGCAAAGCGACAAGCAGAAATCGCAAATCAATAAAATAGAAACCATAAAATGGCCAGCCACCAGAGCGACGGGAATTGGCTGACGCCGTGCCGCAGAATGAGCCGCAGAAAAATAGTCATTATTGGAGCAGCACTTGTCGCGATAGGACGATCCGAGGCGCAGCTCTTGGCGGCTGACCAAACTGCTGTGTGGTGGATGCAATGAAATCGAAGAAATCTGCCTTTGCCAACACTTCGACGGGCTACGGCAGGCACAAGCACAGCGGACACGGCAAGGGTCACGGACACGGCCAGGCACAGTCCGGCAAGGATAAGGCCGAGGGCGGCGGCAAAGGCAAGTCCCGAGAGGTCAAGGATCAGCATGAGGTGAAAGAGGAGCAGGACAAGGATTTGAATTCCGGGTTCGGCGACTATCTACGCACACCGGAGGGTCTGTCTAGGATTTTTCTCATAAATGGTATCCCTATAAATTAATTTTCTTCCCCACTTAGCATTTGAAATGATGAAACTGTTTGTTTTTGCCAATACGATTATGTTGATTGTCACCATGGCCTGGCCCCATATCAAGGAGCAGTTCTACATGATTAACCATTGGCTGGAGACCTTCCGCGAGGACCATCGCATGTAGATTGTCAGCAAATACTAGACAAATACACTGTTAAAAAGCCGACAAAATGGTTGGACCCTTTGTGCAGGGTATGCTATTGATTGGCATCATCTATTGGTACTCCAAGGGCATGATGTCCATGATCAACGACTACTATCGCAGCGAATTTAACCGCAAACTGCAAGCGAATGCCGCACCGAAGCCAAAGGCAGAAGTCCCCATCAATGTGGACAACTTTATGGATTATGTGAGGGAACTGGAGACTCCCAATGAGACGAGAGCCGATCAGATGATAGCCGCTGGTTCCCCTCCAGCACTCGGCACAGAATACTCGCAAATACTGCTGCGCTTCCTTCAGATCACTGGGACTCTGCCAGCCTACGAAGTTTGTCTTAATAGTTCCTTAAGTTAGCTAACAAAATATTACTTAATATATTTAGATTTTACAGCACTTTCGTAGACTAAAATAAAATATTTCAACCACAAGAGCTGGGAGTTTTCGGATCTTTTATTTTGAATTGGTAGCAGAATATATATTGTAGTTTTCAACATTTACTAACCTACCCACAAAGTCGTACAAACATACATAAGGTCTACAAATATCAGGGAATATATGTAAGTGTATTTGGTCTGTTTCCTGATTGCACTCTCACTAGTAAGCTCTCACCCCCTTTTTTCCAACAATGTGCAGCAGCGTGTGAAAATATAGCAAGAGTTGGGACTAAACTGGAGAGATATGATGGATATAGCGAAGGTATAGCAAGCCTTATATGATAGGTGCTGTTGATAACTCTTGTAGTTCAGGTATTTTCACAATATGGCACATTTAGTGGGGGCTCTCAATGGCAGAAACCCGGTCCTGTCAAATAAAGCGGTAGAAATATAGTTTTCTATCATTTTTGTTTGATTTCATTCCACGAGGTAAGTATGTGATTTATCCAAAGCTTCCCATGTTCATAAGAGTTTCCACTTTCACATTCCTAAATTCTACTACATTAGACCTATATTTCAGCCAATTTCAATGCCAATTGGGGACTCAACAAAACAGAAAACATAACAAATTTTAGGGTAAAAATCATAATTCATTATCTTTTTAATGTATATTTTATATACACAACAATTCATACATAATTATATTGTAAAATTAAAATAATAATAATTGCATTACAAATTAATAAAGCAAAAGAATACAAATTATATAGTACATTCATAAATCAAGTTTTCATAATTTTAAAGAAATGTTTTAAATGTAATTTGGAATAGCTAAAAAAATGTATACATCGGAAGCAACAAATCGCCATGGAAATTGTCTTCGTTGTTGGAAAAAAATGGAAACAAAATGAAATGCAAAATGCAAAAATTAAGGAAACACAAACCATTCAGATGATGTATCACAACCTTTCAAACAAGGATTAACAATCGAGAGCCAACGATTGCTCGAGGGGCTAACATTTCAAATCAAATTTCGACAATTGAGTTATGGAGGCCTTACTACACACTATGTATAAATGGATATCGCTTGATATATAGCTATATATGGCTAAACACGTACAAATTAGATTGCTTATGGACAAGGCAAAAATACAAATGCAGAATACACGAGAGGTTCTCAAATATCTCCACCTCAATAATGCACAAGGGTCTCCTCTTACGTTGCCGCAAGGATTGTATATAAATTATATCGTATATATATATTCTATTATGTTATATATTACTGTGCGTTCAAGTCTTAGCGGGTAAACAGTAACACCTAATGACTCTGACTCCGTCTCCCACAATGCATTCCTATCTCTATCTATTCCGATGGCTTGCGATTTGTGGGAGGCGGTGGCGCTGGCACCGTTGGCCTTTTCGGCGTTTGAAATGAGTTGGGCGAAATGGGTGTCGTTGCCTTGTCCTGGGGTTGCTTATTTTCCGGAGGCTGTGCCTGCAAGTTCTGCTGTTGCTGTTGCTGCTGCTGCTGCTGTTTCTGTGGCTCGACTGCAGTCGAGTTCTGTTCATGGTTATGGTTATGGTTCTCTTTGCCCGTAGGTGGAGCCTCCTCCCTCGTTCCATTCGTATCACAATTCTCCTGCTTTAGTTTCTCAAGAAAATGCTCCGTTTTATAACGCACGCTGCCATTGACATTATCAATTGTTGCCTGCGTGGGCGTGGTGGCTCCCTCATCGTCGCTCTTGCCATCATTCCTGGCTGCTGCTGGTCCCACTCCCAGCACTGCCGGCCGCTTGGGCAGCAGCGGCTTCTGGGGCAAATCTGGCTTCAGCTTGAAGCTTCCGATACTGTCCGTACTCTTGCGATCCGCTGTGGGCGAGGGCAAGTTGTCCAGGCCAAAGAACTGGGTGCGCGTCATGGGCACAGGCTTGGCGGGCGTCACAGGCGGTGGCGGCAGTGCCTCCAGCTGTGTGTTGGTTGGCAGGGTCACGGCGGCTGGCGGTACTTGAAATTGGGGCAAATTGGGCAGCGGCGGCTTGGCGGGCTTCTCCTGCTGCGTTTGCGGTGTTTGTTGCGGGAACAGCTCCTTGGCATGCGGCCGCTGGGGCGTCTGTGATGTTGTCATGATCGTGCTGCTCCCATTCGTGCTGGGAGGCGAAGGAGCATTCGGTTTCTGGCGGCGCAAAGTGCCATATCGTGGACTCTCCATGACTTCTGTGGAGGGAATGAGTCAATAAGTTAAGGGCATTGCTTCCTCTTATCGTATTCCACTTACCATTGTCATGTTTGTCTAGGTTCTCGTTGGAGGAATTCGATTTGCTCTTGCCCTCGACAAAGAGCTTCTGCCTCTGCAGCGTCACGTAGAACTCAACGTCGCCGGTGAAGAAGTAATCCCACTGGCTGATCAGCAGCTCCACAATTATGTTGGCCGCCGAGGAGCTGTTCACCTGCCCAATGTAGTCGGCCTGGGCATTGCTGCTCTTATCGATGCGGGGCCACAGCATGTTTGGCGACATGACAATCGCCAGGTTCTGTGAGCTCATCTTATTGTGCACCGAACGCTGCTGCACGAGGGCCAGGAAGCGTGTGAGGTAGCGCAGATTCGCATAGTTCTCCTTGGGCAGCTTCCCCAGTATAGCCTTTATCTCTGTCTTCCGCTCGTTCTCGCTGTGACGCTCTGCGATCCGTATAAAGTCCTTGTACAGGTTATAGGTGAGCAGCGGCTCGGGCAGCTCGCGCAAATAGAGCTTGAGTATGGAGCCAATGACATGGGGATCCTGGTAGTCCAGCGGCAGCGGTGTCTTCACATGCTGCGCCTCCAGAGCGTGCTTCATCCGTCTGAGCTTGGTGCTGGCACAGCCCACACGGAGCAGACCCTCCTCCTCCAGCCCGTTCTCGAGCAGACAGCAGCAACAGAGCTCAACGATATAGGAAATCTCCCGATGCGTCGACGTCAAATGCTCCTTGAGGGAGGTGCCAAAGCGCGACTTCTCCGTCGCCTGAATGGTGTCCTGGATGCGGGCCAGCGAGGCATTCACATGCTGCAACGCCCGCTCGTGATAGTTTCTTTGGTTGAGCACATAGTCCCGTATGCAGTTGACAATCTCATCCTCTTTGGCAATCAGCTCCAGCATCTGCGCGGCCCATGCATCGCGCTCCTTCTCCAGCTTCAGTGCGCACTCCTCCTGCTGGCTCTTGATGTGGTTCACCTTTGACGCCGGCTCATCCAGACGTATAGCCGCCTACAGGGAAATATATCAAACAAATGTGTGACTCTCTTTTCCTCATTTACTGATAAGCAAAGCCTCGAACCAGTCGTCACAATCCCATGTGCCTCCAAAGTTCAAGTATGGAAAATTATCTTATCTCGAGGGCCCTGCCCTGCCCTGCCCACGCCCACAAACTGGAAATAGTTTCGTATGCAGTCGGACTTCTTTATGACTAAGAGGAGAGATGCCGAGAGGCCTGTAAAAATAGACCTCGACCTCAACCGCGAATCCTCAATCCCAGCTGTTCTGCCGCTTCGAATCAAGGTCTTTGTTTCCACACACAAAGGGGAATGGGCATGCGGGCAGGCGTGTGCGTCCGATATTGCAACATATGTTCTCATGCCTATACTATATACGGGGGGAGCACTGACTAAGGTGGCTTTGACACCGTGTGGGCACCGTCGCCTCCCCCTGACTCATAAAGAAGCTTATGGAAACAGTTGCCGCGATAAGAAATGCAATTGATTCAGGTCGAAATGGAGTGTGCAACAGCCCTTCAAGAGAGAGTACAGGGAATAAATATGGGATAGAGATTCGTCTGTATGCAATTTATGCATTCATCACACTTTTCAGCTGCGATAATGATTCTAAAAATAAACACAAAACAGAAAACGTGACAAATAACTATACACCCGACAGCTATCTCTACAATAAACAATGGAAATCATCTAATTATGAATATTTGCTCTGTCTTCAGACCCAACGTGAGACTCTGTGAGTCACATCGACCTCTCGATGACCTACATGAGAGTTGGATTCCGATTCCATTGGCGCATGGCAAAAGAGAGCAAAACACACATTCCAGACACCAAAGTTAACACTTGCAAAGGCTGTATTTTGTGCATCGGATCCATGTCAGGGAATGCAATTAGAACCCAGGACGGTGGTTGGAGGGAGGGTAGAGCAACGTTGATTAGCGAATTATGGCAAGTGCCATACAATACACCTCTTATATTTAAGTAGAAGTATGAGTATATGGGCCTGTTTCCACTGGCGATAAGATTATCCGGAGCTAGCTGTGTAAATAACTTGCGTTTCAAATTCTCTGATAGGCCGTCGCCGTCGCCCGATTCGAATGGTCATCCATTGTGTCGCCTCAATTCCAATTATGATGTCACTACTGCTGGACAGACAAGGCATGTCAATGAACGTCTTCCGACACCTTAAACGGACTACAGACAACATACACCGAGCCGAGACCCACATCGACTAGTCATCCCCGACGTTTTCTTTATATGGGATATGTGTCCGTCGTGATTGTTCGCCAAATAAAACGGAAAGCAAAAAACAAGCAAAAACAATGACAATAAAAACTCAGAATTTGTCAAGTAACATTTTTGTTGGGTTGCCTACAAAAATATAACCGTTTGGTGACACACACTTGTGCGAAGAGTCTCCCCCTCAATGGGCAGAACCAATCGTATGTCAAGAAATTGGAACAGAACACCGAAAAGCCGTTCACTTCATTCTACTTCCATTCCATCCCATCCCACTCTTCATCCCTATACCCATTTCCATTCAGAGGCACAATGGCCCGCGATAAAGGCAATAACGAAAGAAACGACCCCGACAACAATCAAAATCATATCATAAAAATGCTGCAAAAGCCTGAACTCTAAAGCAACGAGGTTTGGATACCCTAAAGAAAAGAAATGGTCAAAGAAATGTAACATCAGGTGGCTCCGACCGAGGGGCGCTGACGCATGCTGCGGTCCCGTGCAGGCAAGAAAGATAGATGTTAGAATTAAATTGGAGGAAAATTAGAAGAATCCATTTGCATTCGAGACGAACAGAGATCTATGCCGATCTATGGCCTACTACAATTATAGTACCTTTGGAAAGAGTATTAAAGCCTAAGCGACAAATTCATACACACTATATAACCTCTATATATATGTATGTACGTAAGCGGACGACGACTTTTGTCGAATGAAACGCATGGCACAACAAATAACAATAGAACCTGACGTGAGATAAAGAAAGAACGAGCGAACGACAGAAAGAGAGAAAGAGAGCCAACAAAAGCAACAATAAACTGAAATTAAAAATTGATTGCTTCTTGGGCGCCGCAGACTTGGTTCTTGGCATCCGCTGATGCATGTACAGTGGTTCCATGCTGATTATGCAAGAGAATACTCTCAAAAGAAGGCTTCATTAGGGTGAGCGAGAGAGTGAATATTAAGATGGATACCAAGAAACTCTCAAGAACTCATTGACAAGTAACCTTATACCCTATCTAAAGGGAAGCTAGCCAATTTTGAGTGTTCCCTGTAGCTATCTTCACTGATTATATCAGCTATTATCAACCACTTCTTGTATTCTAAGAACCCCTTATTGGAGCTATAATCAAGATAGTTTGATTCTCCGGAAACTTGCAGTGTTTAAAACATGAAACCACTGTGCAACCACTGATGGATCGGATCTCCTTGTGGAGATTGAGATACACATGGCGGCAACTACCGGCGGCAGTTGTTTAAGCAATATTGATGTTCTTGTGCCGTCGTTTATCAGAGACAATTTCTGGAACGGGTAAGTGTGGTTCGGTGGGTCGGTCAGTCGGCTATCTCTCTGGGAGCCAGTCGAGCAGAGGTGGTAACTTTTGCTGCTCATTATTTCCATACTCAATTTCTTAATTAATTTAACAATCTCCCATTGCCATCTCTCTCGGGAAAGCGGAAAGAAACATTATTCATCACTCTCTGTCTTTCTTGGAGCCAAGTGTTTTTGTTAATCGTATTTAATGGAGAGTTAGATTTATGATCGGAAAGAAAAATAAAACCTTACCTCATGGCTGCGCTTCAGTGAGGTGTATTCCTGTAATGTTCGCGAGACATTACGCTTCAACGTTGAGATCTCTTGTAGTTCCTTATCCAAGATGTTTTTTAAACGCCTCACCACCTTGGTCTCCGTCTCCAGTTCGCTCTCGATGATGCACTCTGCGATTGTCTTCTCCAGCTCCCCTGCAATTGCGAAATACACACGAAAAATAAAGTACTACAATACAAACTTCGGCTAGATGATGCAAAGCTCCCGCTTGGAGTGGAGATGGGGAGTCGCCTCTATCTCTGTCGCTCGCTCGCAAGTGAGGAAGTCAATGCTTATTTAAGACCTTATCGCAGATCGGTAGCACCGAGACCAAGACGTTGGCGTGCCCGATGCCGTTGCCGTTGCCCGTTTCCAGTTCCAGTTGTCGGTGGGGGAGTTGCGGCGGCCCCCCTATTTTGGGGGAGGTGACAGGCAGCGAATACTCGTAGGTTGACGAGCGAGCTGAGTAAGCAAAATTGTGATAATTGTGTTGAGTGCCCCGGCGGCAGGCAACCCGGGGCTTAGCTGAACCCATTATAGAGGGAAAGAGGTCGACACGGAGACCGAAGACCGAAGACGACAGAGGCACTGGAGTATAACATTTGAGATAGATTCGCTTTGTGCTGTTCCCCTATGTGTGCGACGACGCTGAGAGGGAATTGAGCTGAATTGAAGCGCATCGTGGCTAACAATAAAGTTGCAAAAGGGTGGCCCCTTAAGTACAGTGGGTCAAAGCGTGTGAACGCAGTGCTATTCACTTTACACTGTTAAGAATTTCCGCATTCAAGGAAAGCCTTAAACCTTTGTACATATAATATTTTAAGATGTAAACCTTTGAAGATTTGTTCAATTATCACCACTTTTGAATGCATTTCTTTGAAGATTAGGATGTTCATTATAGAATTACCTTTGTTCGATTTCGATTACCCTCTAATAATGCTTATAAATGCAATGTAGGGCAGGCCCTAAACCTCCATAACAAGCCATGTTTCGATGGGAAATTAACTTGATTCACTTTATACCGCTTTGGAATCGATTTCCCTTGATTAAACCACTAATAATTCCCATCGCGTTTCAGGCACCGCTCCACCACACATCATCCCAGCAAACACGTATGAACGTGGAACGTGCGTGTCTAATCATGAACTTTATGTGGAAAACAAAGGCTGCACTGTATCCCTAGCAGAGCATTATACAACTAGAAACTGCACTTGAACCACTATAAGGGGTTGCAGCTGCAACTGACTCGCGTTCATGCTGCTCTTTGGCTCTTCTTTGGCTGCAACTGCAACTAAATTGCAATTGACGCACCACACACACACATATCTGCCAATATGTGGAATGCAAAATACAGCCAAAAAAAATAAGCAAACGAAATGAGTAATAGCGAAAGGGGGAGCGGAGGAGCGGCCCGCATATAATAAATGAAGAGCAGAGCAGAGTGTGTCCGATTATGACGATGATGTATGAATGAATCTCTGGCGTAACTTTTACTTTTTTCTGGGCAGGCCAGCACATAATTATTGGCATTTACTTTTACCGGGTCCGGGGTGTAACAAATTTAAATGAAATGCACAATAAATCGGTTAGAAAGAGGGCCGGAGCGGGGGCGAAATACAATATACAATAACTCAATAGCCAATCGGAAAGGCAAAACAAAAACTGTGTATAAATAGATACATATAGCCTAAACCGCAAACAAAAACAGCGAAAGCAGCGAAAAAAAAAGCCGTCATAATACAAATTATTATAATGATTAAAAAACGCGCAGGCCACAGCACAGCACAGCACAGTTTGAGTATATATCAAAAAACGACGCTGGATGTTGAGAAATGTAAATGCCACAAGGCCAAGCGCAGACAAGGCGAGGCCGCAAACACACACACACACACACATACACAGAAGCACTGGGGAGCACGCAAGCCCGTGACACAGTCACTCCATCCATAAGTATTTCGCTCTGCTGTCTATATATGCATATTTGCATATGCGCTTGAGAGCGATTATCAAATCGAATGCGTACCACGGTGCACCCGCCGGCGGGGCTCTTATCACAATCACAGAACAACAACACACACTTGTCGGGAGAAAGGGGAGGGGAAAAAAAACTAACCACAATTGGCCAAGACCTTCTGCAGGGGCATATCCTTGGGCAACTCTTTGGCAGACTCATCCAGGGCCTGGGCAATCTTGTAGTGACTGTTCTTCTTGGTCCGCTTGTCCTGCTCCTCGGTGGATACCTGGCCATTGCTGCTGCTGCTCCCCCCACTGCTGCTCAGTGCTGGCAATTTACGCACAATCTTCTCGATGGTATCACGATACCGGTCCACCTGCTTCTCGATGATCTCTAGCTCGGAATCTTTGCAGTCTGCTTTTGTTGATCTGTTGTTGGGGGCAAAGAAAAAGAATGGAAATATGCCGTTAGGTCATCAGTAGCAGCTGACTTGAGCGCCCACTTGGAGGCAACAACATCGTCAACGACGACGTAAGTGTAAACGCTGCGCTTTATTTTGGCATTGGAGTCGGGTTTTGTTGTTACATTCGTGTGTTGTTGTGATGAGGCAACACCTGCTGGCAGGCTGTTTGTCTGGAGAGCTGAGGTGTTACACACCTATCTACATAAGTAGCCGTCGGCGACGCTGCCCCCCCTTCTGTCCGTCGTGTCTGGCCTTTGAACTTACCTTGATAAATTTTCAGCCGCAATTTTAATCTTCGCGAATTGCCTCTTCATCTTGGCTATTTCTTGTATCCTCTCGCGTCTCCAACGTAAACTAAACTCTTTTTGTGCTGTGTTTTAATGTGTAATTAGCTATTGAGTAAATACTAAAAACTGACAAATTAGTCATTCGGTTTCCGTTGGTGTTGTTGTTGTCGTCGTCTTCGCTGGTGGTGCTGTGTCTCCGTTTGCTATTTCTGCTTCTTGCATCTGCTTCCTTACACAAACACACACACGCGAACGCACTTAATATATTATATTATATTTATTTAATATTTATTTTTTTCCACGCGCTGTTCCTTCCATTCCAGTGTGACCGCAGACTCGATAAGTCGATAACATATACCGTCGACTATCAGAAATATACCAAAATATACGGTCTCATTTTAGTAATATACCGTAAAAATACTGACAAATTCAAGTTCTATTATACATATTCCTCGTTTTCTTTCTTCCGTTGAATTTTACTAGCTATATAGAACATTTAGCCGTGCCCACATAATTTTATACGATTAATGAATCAATTTTCTACAAGATTGGATAGTTCTTAATCCTTGCTTTTATTGTATTTTGACTAAAACAGGGTTAAACCAAAATAGTTCAACAAAAATAAGAGTCGCAATGTTGCTGGTATTTGAAGACATGATGCGTGTATAGGCCTTTGTGCACCCTATTTCGTTAATTTTATAAGTAGATCAAACGCAATTTATTAAGACCTTTTCTCAAATTGATATTCTTTAGACATATTCAAGTACCTTATTCGTATCTTGTATATATTTATGTCGATCCTGATACCTACTGCGCCTTGGAAGACAAACGTATTTACAATTTTATAACATCCATTTCCCCCAGGGTATGTGTGCATGGAATGGGACTCATTGTTGTGAACCGGTTATGACGACTAATTCTTGGTTAATCTTTCTTCCGTCGAATATTCCCAGCTATATAGATCTCTCAGTTTTCCCAGACAATTTTATATGATAGCTGAATCAATTTTGATCAAGATTAATTATTTTTAAGTACTTGCATGTTTTTTATTTTGACAAAAACACGATTTCATCAAAAATGTTCAATGTCGCAGGTTGTGACGTCAATGTTGCTGGTATTTGCAGACTCATTTGTTGTCAACCAGGGTATGAACGTTTGTATACCCTATTTCGTGAATATTATATAAAGATACTGTTTTCCAAGCTGCTTTCAAATGTAATTAATAAAGGCCTTGTTTTAGATTGCATTTTTTTGGTCTATTCATGCATTTGATTAGTTATTTGTATATAAAACCTGATCCCTGTAGCGATTCTTTGTCTCTGTAAGAGGACCACTAATTGCAAAATATCGTTTAAAATAGATACTGACTAGTTTCTGCATTAATAGAGCATGGGATGAAACACATTTCCGCAATTCTATATCATCCATTTCCCCAGGGTATGTGTGCATGGAATTAGCAACATGTTTGTGTATGGAATGGGACTCATCTGTTGCGAACCGGGTATTGCCAAATCCGGATATTTCAAGCTATATAGAACTTTCAGCCATGCCCACATAGTTTTATACAATTAATGCACTTATTTTCTACGTGACTGGTTTATTTTAAACACTGGCTTTCGTTGGATTTTACATAAAAAAGGTTTTTGGCGAAAAAGATAAAAAAAAAGGTATGTGACTCATCGCTCGAGTATGGGCAATTGTATACCCTATTTCATTAACTTATTATGAAGATACTGTTTTATAAACTGTTTTAAAACGTAATTACTAAATACATTTTCTCAAATTTATATGTTTTAAACGTATCTATGCATTTGATTCGATTCATATATATATCCTGATCCCGATATTCATTCTTGGTCTCTGTAGGAATAATAAGCTGCAAAATATCGTTGAAATAGCTTTCAAAAAGAACTTGGAGCTATTGGAGCTTGAGATGACTAACATTTTCTCAATTCTATAATATCCACGTTGCCGCACGTTGTTCTATGGGTTAAAAGAGGAGGAGCCCTAACCGATTCAAAGAGAGCAAAAAGAGCCGAGTGGGCGTGCCAAATATACATTTTTTGAAAGTGAATGAGCTACAAGGATCTAAAAGCAATCCATTGGAATAAATTATGAACGGAAGTACGATTTGAAAGAGCGAACATTCAAAATACACCCTTTACTCTTAATCTATACTTTTTGTTCTTAAATTTAATAGATGAAATTGATAATATATATAAACCGATACCGATGGTCCGATTTTTCAAATTGGCCTTGCAGAGACCTGAAATAATTGCCAACAATTGTTCCTCTATTCGCCTCCTCTGGACTTAAGTCAATACTTTGGCCATCACCTCCTATATCCTGGTGGATGAATTCCAGCTGGTCCAGCGATTTTAGTTCTTGATCACCCATCTCTGTTAAATATGTTAAAATTATAAATGTGAAAATTGAGCGCCAAATGATGTGATATTAATTGGTTCGTATCATGCGATACGATATTTATCGATATCGATATATTATCGATAGGTTTTACAAGTAACCATACCATTCTGCGGCGCATAATTTGAAAGCAAAACAACAAAACATAAAAATGTATATTGAATTTGGTGAATACCGAAACGACGGGGTGAACATCGACGTTGTAATATATTTATATGAGGCATATATGTATGAACCATACCACAAAACAAGGAACAAAACATGAAAAGAGCCGAAAACCAAACGAATGCGGCCCAATAAGTGTGACGTTTGGACAGGAAAAACTCGACATAGAGCCAAACGGTGTCGTTCAATTGTATAAGACTTTCTTAGAACAGCAAGATAGAGGTGTGTAAATTAGTAAAATTAATATAATATTCTTCTGATAATATATCAATGTATTCAATTCAGCGGAAATCGTTGACACCCACGTTGAGAAGATGCCGCAAGTTGAGGAGCCGCCGCAAGTTGAGGAGCCGCCGCACATTGAGTAAAGTGAAGCTACAATAAATAAAATTAATTAAATTAAGGTTTATATTATTATATTATGTACCAAGGCGCCCAAAGCGCCGCCTCCCCGAATATCTTACTACTTAATATACATATAGGCCTTTGTAGGCCGTAAGTTTGAAGCAATTGAAGCTTAAATTTGAATTGTACAATTGCGACGCTCTCCTTTTGGGAGCTATTCTGGCGGCATCGAGGACACCGCACATCCTTGTCCAAGTCATTGAGGAACTTCAAGGTATATGTAATATACTAGTTCCATGGCTATCCAGCTTCTAGAGCAGGGCCATGTAACTTCGCTGAAGGAGTAACTGCTTCTGGCGCTGAGATTGATGTGGAATTTGTGGTGGAACATTAACGTTAAAATTAATGAACTGTAAACTAAATATTCATCTCAAAAAGTGATGACACATTTGTGTATATACCCGTGTAGGCACAATTATATTGCGCATTTATTAATAATTTACCTATTAGCTATTGGACACCAACAAACAAACAAAAAATGGCTTGACTAATCATCTTTGAAACCCAAACTAAACTCCTGTGCCTCACCTCCCTTTCGAAAGATTCGCACGTAGGCGGACTTGACGCCAAACTTCCAAATGGCAATGTAGGGCAAATAGTACGTGAGCAGATCCACCAGCCACACGCGAAAGTTCAAATACCACCGCACAATGGCATACTTGTGCAGAAAGGTGACAATAAACAGCCCGTAGCTGACGATCAGCCGATCCCATAGCTTCAAATCGTAGTAGTACAATCTCTGCTGTGGATCCCGCTTCTCCCCGACCCGATGGTCGAAACTGTAGTACTCGTAGCCCTTTACACAGGCCAGTCGCTTGGTGAAGAAGATATTAGCCCCAACTGAGAGCATTGTGTTGACGTGCCACAGTCCCTGGATAAGGGCCTCTGTCATCCGATAAAACTCCTCAGTTGTGTGCTCCAGCGCTGGCTCGTAAACTTTTCGCATAACTATGTCCAGGCGGGTCTTGGACTCGGCCCAGTTCCGACCGCAGATGTTGTACTCATCCTTGATGCCCAGTAAATAGCCCAGAACTCTCCACATATGGGTTGTGGCCTCTAGGAAATCATTATCGTACAGCTGTATGCGATGAGCTCCAAGGGTTATGAAGCCAATGAATCCAAACTGGGTCAGGGCCAGGTCCTTCTGCGTGATCTGCCCGGCTCCACGCCTGGCACACGCATGACTAGAGCGGGCATGGGCCTGTCTAACAGCCGCGATGCTGGTCCAAAACTTGCTCTTTCTGTCCGCCACGGAATTATTGTACCAGGATTGGGTATGGAAAATAGTGCGTACGTATCTTCGATAAGCTGTGAATGCAGTTGAAGATTGTCGCGTGCAGGCAAGTACTCGGAGAATCGAGGGCACGGCTAGAACGGAAATCAGCCCGGCCAGCATCCCCGCATTCATCACGAAGCGATATGTGCTAAAGTACCCTTGAGCGCTGCAGTAATCAGAAACGATGAAGGGAAATTATTAAAAAGTTACATACAATAACACAATTGCATGAACAGAACATTTGCGTGACTAACTAATTAACGTACCGCTTGAACAGCTGCTCATCGAACCATGGCGGAAGCTCCAACTCAGACCCGCTATCGCCCTCCTGGCTGCCGTCCTTCAGCAGGTGCTCCAGATACTGCTCCGCCTCGGCATCATTATGCCCATTATTGGGGGCCTGCGCTGAATGCATTTTCCCACTGGCCGCTGGAAAGACAACGCATACCAAAAACAAACTTAAGACCAGTCAAACATTACACAAGAGCTGAAAACAAACAAAACCGTCGAGTGCCAAGAGAGAAAGTTTCTTCGGCAGCGGCGCAGCGGGCCCATTCCACTTTACACTTACACGATTCATGCTCGCCGCTGTCCGTGGATACGCCATTCGTCATGTTGTCAAGTCAATTTGCAGTAGTTAATCTATTTGGCAAATCTACAATTGCTTGATATGGGCAAGTTTAGCATTATTTTTCCCGGGCTCTCGACGGGTGGTCGGTTGATTGCTCAATTTACGGCGCCTGCCTCGCGCCGCAGAGTGCTATGAACTGAATTGCAACGGCCACCGGCAGCCGAGGTTCAGTCAGCTTTATATGTGCTCAAGCAACCGTTTCCAGAGATCCACAGAGTGGCGCGAAACTGGTTTTGAATCATCTTATAAAAGTTTCCCGATCGTTTGTTTATGCAACTTTACACAGCGCACAGTCACATTTTCGTGACTGTCCAGTCGATAGTATCGCAAGCCTACAAAATTATCGATAAGTCGAGTTACATCTCTAGAACCAGCCGACGCGCTTGCAAAAAAAAAAAAGAGGAAAAAAATTCTTTCCAATTTTGCGCTGTCAATTCACTTGGTTTTAGAAGTCAGTTGTAAAGTACTTGTTAGTGCTCATTGCTGTGTGTAAAATTTAAGTAAAAAACTGAAGCGCGCGTACTTGAGGCAGTAGCAAGTGAGATACATTTTTTATCCCCGGCTTGTGCACGCGTTTTGCCGCTTTGGCTTCATTGTTTTGGCGCCCGATTTTTGCGACGCGTACCAAATTTTTGCGTTAATTATACTTTGTGCACACGTTCGAAATGGTGGATCGCAGTGATAATGGTAAGTTGAATATAATGTGAAATAAATTAAGGCTAATTTTGTGACTTATTTCCCAAGCGGCGGAATCTTTCGACGATGCCGTCGAGGAGCGTGTGATCAACGAAGAGTACAAGATATGGAAGAAGAATACCCCTTTTCTGTACGATTTGGTCATGACACACGCTCTGGAATGGCCATCCCTGACTGCCCAGTGGCTGCCCGATGTGACCAAGCAGGACGGCAAGGATTACTCGGTGCATCGCCTCATTTTGGGGACACACACATCAGACGAACAGAATCACTTGCTGATCGCCAGCGTCCAGCTGCCCAGCGAAGATGCCCAGTTTGATGGCTCGCACTACGACAATGAAAGAGGCGAGTTTGGTGGCTTTGGTTCTGTGTGTGGCAAAATAGAGATTGAGATCAAAATCAATCACGAAGGCGAGGTGAACCGTGCTCGTTATATGCCACAGAACGCTTGCGTTATTGCTACCAAAACCCCGTCGAGCGATGTCCTGGTGTTTGACTACACAAAACATCCCAGCAAACCGGAGCCATCCGGTGAATGCCAGCCAGATCTGAGGCTGCGCGGTCATCAGAAAGAGGGCTATGGCCTCTCTTGGAATCCTAACCTGAATGGTAAGGCAATCCTATTGTCTCCTTTGTGTATAATCTATAAATGTTGGTTCATTTTCAAGGCTACTTGCTCTCGGCCTCTGATGATCATACCATCTGCTTGTGGGACATTAACGCCACGCCCAAGGAGCATCGCGTGATCGATGCCAAGAATATTTTCACTGGTCACACCGCTGTTGTTGAGGATGTGGCCTGGCATCTGCTGCACGAGTCGCTTTTCGGTTCTGTGGCCGACGATCAGAAGCTCATGATCTGGGACACGCGCAACAACAACACCTCAAAGCCATCGCATACCGTCGATGCCCATACGGCCGAAGTCAATTGTCTGAGCTTCAATCCCTATTCGGAGTTCATCTTGGCCACGGGCTCCGCTGACAAGACTGTGGCACTGTGGGATTTGCGTAATCTGAAGCTTAAACTACATTCCTTCGAGTCGCACAAGGACGAGATCTTCCAGGTGCAGTGGTCGCCCCATAACGAGACCATTCTTGCCTCTTCCGGCACCGATCGTCGCTTGCACGTTTGGGATTTGTCGAAAATAGGCGAGGAGCAGAGCTCAGAGGATGCTGAAGATGGACCACCAGAGCTGCTCTTCATTCACGGCGGCCACACGGCCAAGATCAGCGACTTCTCATGGAACCCCAACGAGCCCTGGATCATTTGCTCCGTGTCCGAGGACAACATAATGCAGGTGTGGCAAATGGCAGAGAACGTATACAACGACGAGGAGCCCGAGATACCGGCTTCCGAGTTGGAAACAAACACCGCTTAAAGCATACATATACATATTTTCCCACACGACCAATTTTACGTTTTTCTCTCTGCTCCTGCTCCTGAAATCTAGCAGTGCTCCATCTTAATTTATACATATTACATATTTTTAGATCGAATTAAGTCAACTTTCTGTCAAAAGCAAACGTATGTTGTACGAATCTTTAATTAAAACCGGTCTTAAAAGAAACATATTGTAAAAGGCAATATATTGCAGTATTTCGAATATCAAATTCAAATTTAGTCCACGGTGTATTTATAGGTCTTCCCAAAGACCTGAATCTCTACATTCAAGGCCCTGACATCGGTGGTGTTTCGTCTTGAGATGATTTTCCCTTTAATGACATCGCCCCAGCTCACTTCCTGTGGCTGATCAATGAAGAACACAGTCTGTTTCCAGTGCGTGGTCGTGTGATAGGGCGATGTGCTGAACATGACCTCGCGTGGCAGCTCAAAGAACGTATCAAAGAAACCCACAAAGGCTGACAGCCGACCCGCCTGTGTGCATTTCAGGCTGAACTCGTACGTAAAGTTGGAATAATTCAGATCGACGGTCATCATATCGAAATTGGCTATTTGCTCGGCCGCTGTCAGCACGTACCGGGGATCCACCGCCTGCATAAGCGGCTCTTCGATGGAGCGTTTGGCCAGGTCGCGCATATTGACGCCATACACATCGGACCAGAACTCCACTTGCTCGGCATAGAGCTTGTCATTGCCATAGCCCATCAGGCTAAGCGAGCATCGATTGGGCAGAATGATGCCATTGGGATTAAGATGATGCTCGCGGGCATAGATGATGCTATCCAGCATGGACTCGTACAGCAAAAAGTAGCCCATCCATTCGGAAATGATGATGTCGTACTTGGCCTCGGGCAATTCGGTGTCCTCCAGCCGTCCCTTCACCAGCTCAACGTTCTTTACATTGTTTTTCCTACGAACAGAGGGATTTATTAATCAAAATTACAAAAACAGATAAACTTGAAGCATACCTGACAATGTCCATGGCTGTGTAGACAATCTCAGAGTTGTCAATGCCGACGATGCGAGAGGCGCCCGCCTGTGATGCGAATATGGAGAGAATTCCCGTACCGCAGCCCACATCCAGCACCGTCTTGCCGCGCACATCCTCCGAATTCATGAGCAAAGCGGAACGGTAGCTGTTGGTTCGCACCCAATCGCTGAGCATTTCGTGATGGATACCAAAGTGGGAGTAGCTGTTGAAGTACTCCTTATCGAGTAAGAGATTATTGCGCGGCAGATCCTTGGTGGCGGCGGCCTTATCCCTGCTATCGCCCTCATGGACCCTCTGCAGCAGTTCCTTATAGTCCTTGCGCATCCGCTCCATGTCCTCGTTGGCCTGCTGCAGCAGCTTGGATTGCTCTGCAATGCGCTGCAACAACTCGGGCACCGTCACAGTCTCTGTTTCAGTCTTGAGAACTTCATAGTCGTAGCACAGCCACGGCTCGTACTCCACGGGCTTCAGATATTTCTCATCGTCCCACAGGATCTTCTCTGTCGAGAGCAGTTGCTCGGCGCTTATCTTGCAGACCCTTATGTAGTTGATTAGCTTGATGAAGGAATACTGATCCATTTGGAATTTCTTTTGAAGCTGCGACAGATTGACTTTGTGGCTGCTGTCCAGGTGGTCAATGGCAGCGCCTATGCTGGGGAGGGCCTCTGGGCAGAAGAGACAAGTGGTTTGCTCCTCGCCCTGGTCCTTTTCATCGTCTTCGTCATCCATGTCATCATAGTCATCGTCATCGGAGCAGGAATCCGCCGGCTCCTTTGCCAGTGCTTCCTCCGCCTGGGATTTGGCTGCTGTTCAAAGACAATTTTGTTTGATTTTGTGATACCTTCTAGTGACCAGCGCTGCCTTACCTGGGGAATCGATCTCTTTCATGTTTGTTTTGAATATTTGTTAATAAAAAGTTTCCAGCAATCGTACAAAACGTTTAATAAATAAAAGGTTGTATGTTTACTTCCGCCAGCACGTGCAAAACAGCGGTATTAGGGATGTTATTGATATATCAGTTGATATATCGCGCCTTCTGTGGCCAGTGTTGGGAAATACTGCCCAACAGCTGTTCTAGCACCTATAGCCCTTGCATAATTTCTCGTTTACAAATATGTTGCAGGTATTTAATCCAATTTATTAAATAAAGCTATATTTAATTACAATAACTCTGATTTCCAGGTGTTGAAGACTTTACGATGGGCACAACCTGTGCGGGCGCTATCATCTGTGACCACCAGCAGTGCAGCAACGAATGTTACAACTACAGCATCCGTTCCGGAGCCGGATAAACTTTTCAGCAAATTGGAAATCGAGCTCCGCGGCGTCGATCCGGCCGTGCTGAAGAGCTATACCTGGTTTGCCACCACCGCCGCAGACCATTTAGGCATTGAGAAGGGCAAGTGGTAAGTGGGGATACAAATCAAATCAGTTAGATCCGAAAGAAATCGCGATTAATTCAACAATGTCCACCCACAGCTGGTCCCCACGCAAGGCAGACCACGAGCGCATGACACTGCTGAAGTCGGTGCACATCTACAAGAAGCATCGTGTGCAGTACGAGGTGCGAACGCACTTCCGGTACATGAATTTCCACAAGCTGACAGGCTCCACCCTGGACACATTTCTGGAGTATATTGAACGCAACCTGCCCGAAGGCGTGGCGCTGCAGGTGTCCAAGACAGAGCTCCAGCAGATGCCCGAGCACTTGCGCCAACCCCCCGAGCAAGTTTAGCGCAGCCTGAAAGAACTCTTAGCCAGTAGGACGCAAATGTTATTAATAGTTTTTTACTTGGAGCCCCTTGTCGGGGGCAGTTATGCGGCCATTCAAGTACGTATTTCAACAGCGGCATCCGCGATGAGATTAGGCTGATCAAAAACAAAAATAAATTGAAATAGAAGAACAGCAATCGTACCCATAAACCGAACTAATAAGCGATCGCACTCGGAGCCCCACCCGCGATTAACGGAGATAAGTGTTGGGCCAAATATTGAAATAAAATTGTTAGCTCGACTTAGTTGTCGTATCTTGACACACGCACACAGTGGCACCTGGATACGGGCCCCCACTTGAAGTAAGGGCAAACAAAATCCGGACGGCTGCCCGCTAGCTCCTCAGTAGCGAGGCCAAGCCGAACGGAAGCGGATCAGCAACAACATGCGCCAGGGATACTTCTTGCAGGCCGTTATGGCCATAGCCATACTCTACAGTTGTTTGGAACCAGCCGAGTGCTTATACGAGAGTCAAATCCTTGCCTTCCTGGAAGAGTTCCGCATGCGTATGTGCCATCCCATACCAAATTTGGGTTTGCCCGCGCTAGATCCTTTCGTTCTTGGTCCTGGCCAGACGTCTATGAATAACAAATACCTCATAGAGTAAGCAACATAATGATTAGTCCGCTGACAAGTTATTTAAACCACAAATTTTTAGCTTTACTGGCTCCATCGATGACTTCCAGTTGCACGGAGTGTCCGATTTTGAGGTTCCTACACTTACCCTTAATCCCGTGCCGGGTCTGAAGAGCACCATCCAGGTTAACTTCCCATACACCTACTTCAAGTCCCTGTACACCGCAAAGGGATCGCTGGCCTATATCCTAAATCTGGCTGGTGATGGCAATGCAGAGTAGGCATATGATTTATTTTAGCATCAAACTCTTCACTTATTAGCCCTTCGCTCTCTTTCGTAGAGCCTTCATCAAGGACTTTTCATTCCTGATCTCCTTCAGGCTGAGAACTCTCTCACCCCTGGGTATCACTTCACTGCAAATCGAGCTTTATTTGGGTGATTTGAAAATCAACTTTGAAAACCTCCTGGAGGAGGACCGCATCGATGATTTTGTGCATTCCCTTGTCAATGAAATGGGCGTGGAATTGCTAGACGATGTCTGGAGCTACGAACAGGGAACGGTGGTTGCCAAAGTTCAAACGGTGGGTGTACCTTTTGGGTGCTTTAAAAGACAGTCCACTCATCCTATCTCTCCATTCCGATTCTCTTTTGCAGCTGGTCAACAACTTTTTGGGGCAATACTCTTTGCAGGACATACTCCAGATCATAGCTGGTGGCGGAGGAGGAGAGGGCGGTGAAAGCAAGCCCATATTCGAGGGCGTCGAGCCCAACTGCAAGCTTGGATCTGAATCAATACTCGACTAAGACTGAAATATATGAAATAGTTTAGGAAATAAAATATGTAGTTACCTATGTATAGAGATACAATTATCCTCTCAAAAGAATTGATAAATGTGATGGAAATGGAAATAAGGCACTTGAGTGTTAGAACCGTTATGAACCGTTTGACGTTTTAGCTATATTTACTTATCAAACTGATAAGGATACATTTACCAATATCCCATTTGCATTTAAATCCGTCTCTTATCTGCCCGAAAATACCCCACTCCCGCCACAGGCGCTGGCCACACAGAGTTTTGCTACCATCGAATCGTTTAATCGCTGTGGGGGTCTCTGATAAGTGTTATTTTTATAGCCGTTTATTGATTTACTGCTAGTTTGCGTGCAAAACAAGATCAAGTAGCAGGTTATCAAATCCAGTTGCAGTGGGCTAAGAATTTTAAATGGCCTTGCGGGTTCTATAAAACCAGCTTTGAGTACTATATGCAGTAGATATTTCGACTTTAGGGTACCCATTTCACAGGTTTCCCAACATTTTTGTAGCCAAAGTCAGTTGGTCGTTCAAGAGGTTCAGCGAAGAAATCTCGGGATAGGATTGGTTACGTATAAAACGTATTAGATTAGTAGATAATAACTATATTTGAAAGGTTTTACCATTGCAATTGTGTTTCCCGTAACGCTTAATGTCTCCAATATCAAGGTATCAAACGATTCTTGCATAGATCTTTGAAAATATTTAGAGAAATGTTCCTTCGACCTACATTATCTCCCGGGAGAAAAAAATACAATATACCCTTGAACTTTGTACACGATTACCAGGTAACCACTATACGTTTATCAATGTATTATGTGCTAATGAACCCATTGTAGAAATTCCCACTTTTATGCGTTACAATTTTTTCTGAGGTTGCAGTGTAGTTATATAAAAGCTACATATTTGTACAACTTTAGTGGAAGTATGACATTATTTGACAGCCAAAAGATAATGGCAACCACTTATGTGTTTCCCTTTCATAAAAACCACAACCGAAATTCGCAAAAAGGAATTTGTTTCACAGATTAGAAGCAAATACAAAATAGAATATACAAAATAACGACATTTCTAATCTTGTTGATAACTGGGTAACAATTGTGATGTACTTTTGTGGTGCTCCACAATGATGTGCGTTTCCTTATAGATATGGATCCCAGCCGGTAAAGATCATACATAGATTATCCGGCAGAGTGGCTTCGTTGATCAGACGTTCCACTTGAGCCTCCACATTCGAGTCACCGAGGGTACCTGCCTCCCGACCCTCTAGTTTATTTTGCACCTGAAGCAGGGCACGCTGGGCCACCAGATTAATCGATTCCTCGCCTGTAAATAACAATTCTAGAGACTATCTAGATAGATCGATTGATATGCATACTTTTACTGGACTCCTGGGAGGATTGCCTATTTCTGAGTACACCCCAAATAAAGAGTGGGTCGTAGAGCAGAACCTCGAGTATGGTGGTGAGGACGGACTTGTACCGCCTCAGTATATGTACGGTGGCCTCGCAGGACTTGGTAAACACTCCCTTAGTTCCACAGATGCCCATGGGAGCAACAAAGTCACGTGTAAGCCGAAAGGGTACCGTCTCTGGGGTTGCACTTATCTTGCCCTGACCGAAAGCGATGCCTGGAATAAGAAGAATATAAACGAATCCATATCTTGGATGTAATCAGATACATACCAAAATCTATGTGTATCACTTCGGCTGTTTGCTGGTCAATTAGAATGTTCTGCACATGCCGATCGCCCAATCCCAGAACATAGCCCACCATTGAGGTAGTGGCCACGCTGTTTGTGTAGGCCAAACGCCGCTCAAACCACACACCCGGTATGGGGAACTTTTCCAGCAGAAAGTAGTGAAAAACAGGCGTCACATGTGCGCATATTTCCTGAAAGACTTCAAATCGCTTCTCCTTGGACGACTTCGCATGGCTCTGCAAATTTACAATCGTTTTCAGGTTCCAACTAAGCGAACAAAAATTAACCCATATTTTCTCGTACCCCTAGTAAGGTGCGACATTTCACGTTCTTCCAGTCATTGGGATGATACTTTATGTGGGCGCCGCTTTTGCTATCTTGTCCCACCAGGTACTCGGCTACTGGCATAGAGTTGGGGCACCACTCCAAGATGCCGCTGCGCATAGACAGGGGAGTCACTGTGTACGTGCGAAGTTGCAGCTTGCGATCGATAAACTCAGAGTCCTGTTTCAGCAGCTGATTGACAATCCCAAAGACCTGCTGCATGACGGCATCCTGACGCAGGTCATCCTTGCCCTTGATCAGCTGTGCCCGTGTCTGGCCATCGGAGCAGACACACTTCACTCTGATGGGCGCATTAATGCCACCGCAATTGCTAATTTCATTCGTCCACTTGCAGATGCCTAAATCGTGTACAGGAATTGCTAAACTAGTTTTCGTTCGGCTAAGAATTTCAACCTACTGGTGATGTTGTTGTATTCCTTGTCGGGACAAATGGGTAGCTCCAGGGTGGGACACTGCATGGCATCGAGATTCCTATGACGCCTCACCTTCTCGAACTGCTTTAGCCGCATCGCAATTGGTTGATGCCGGTTCTCGGATATTCCCTCGTTTGCAAACGTGACGATAGCTAAAAGAGAGTAAGATGAATACGGTACAGTACACAACGGAAGCCAATAAATCTTTCTACCTGGAAGCACTGCCTCCAGCTGCTTGCTGCATCTGTCTGCTAGGGGATTCTTCTCACAGATTTTCGTTATTATCTTACGGGCAATGCCCGCCCTTTCCGTGTTGCTGCCATCGCCGTCCAGGCGGGCTAATACCAGGGGATACAGCTTGTAAAAGGTGTGATGCGGATGATCTTGGCCGCAGCGGACCAATAGCTCGAACAGGATCTTAAGCAGGCTGGGGTTTTTAGAATTGAGACGCCCCGTCAGTTGGTTGGTGGCACAAATAAACTTGTAGCTGGGCACTGTGAGGATCTCCTCATTGATGCACTTCTGCAGCTGCTCGTTGTGGGCATTGGTGAACCATAGCGAGATGATGCGATAGATGGCAGCGCTGGAGAAGCCGCTGTCCAGCTTGCAGTAGGCAATGTGATTCCTCACAGCCGTGCACAAATGCTCTGTAAGATTCTGTTCAATGCGCTTCAGCTCCATCTCGTCCAGTAGGGCATAGCGCTTCATTTGATTGGAGATGATGCGCTTGTCTTGGGACTCGCGATTCGATACCGTTTCCGCTACTAGACGATTCTGCTCTATGATGTCCTTCAGCGTCTGGTAGTCCTGCGAGTGGCGATACTCGTGCAGCTGCTGGTACTCCCGATCGGCATATTTGGCCATGGCCTCATAGGCCGCTGTGCGATGCTGCCTGGCAAAGGCTTCAAGCTCCTGCCACTTGAAGGACTGCGGATACGCTGCGCTCAGTTTATCTTTATGCAGCACAAAGTCGTCGATCAGCTGGATCGAGTACTTGAATTTATTCTTCAGCACTGAGCTCAGGCTGTCGGCATTGCAGTCCATCAGGAATTCTCCATGCATGCGCAGGGCTGGGACCCGCTGCGGGCAATAGATGAACTCTTGGTTTTCGACCACGTACTCCAGGATGGCCTTGGCTATCTGATGATTACCCATTTTCACATTCACATCGGCATCTTCCAGCTGCACGCAGATCTGTAATGGCAATAATCAATCCAATTATCAGCCTTTTTAACAACGAAATGCCACTTCCCCATCCCTTACCTTGGTGGATGCCTTGATATTGGGTAGCTCTCGCAGCATCCCAATGTATTTAGAGGCTATGTTCAGCTTCCCCGCCGCCTTGCACTCGCTAATCCCCTTCAACAGATACGTGTCCATGGGGTTTTCCTTGTAATAGTCCTGCATGCGACGGCTGGCCCGCGTTCCAGCCATCTTGAAGAGTGCAATCTGATGCGAAATGATATACTCCTTACATGAAAAGTTGCCGTAATTAAGCTCCAGTTCCGTCTGCCATTTTCCAAAGACTTTAGACATCTGCCCCGGGTCTAGCTGTGCCCCAAACTGGATCTGTTTAAGGGACAAAATCTCGGTTGATGAATGATGAAAAATATAAAAGACAGTACTGCATGCGAGAGACCTCACAAAAGTCTTCTGCCTGCTGAAGCGTGCACAGCCATGTGAGGTACTTGTACACACTCTGCAGGCACTCCATGCTGTTGTCTTGTAGAATCCTGCGCACGCACTCATAGCCACTCCCAATGGCCGAAAGGGTGTTCTCCTCCTCGCGCTGCCCAATGCTCCTAAGTGCCACAAAATGATGCCGCTTGAATTCCTGCTCCAAATTAATGGTGGCCCCAGTGCTGTGCTTTAATTGTTGTGGCTGCTGATCGGATGGCATATCCCACTGGCCAAGTCGCCAGAAGATTTCATAGTCCGGTTCCTGCTGCTGCAGTTTGGCAAATGACCACAGACCGTTACCCTTCATGAGATCCACAGCCATCTGACTGCTAGCACTGTCCAGGTGATCCGACTCCAGCAGAATGGCGGACAAGTTGTTGTTGCGACCGTGAAAATCCACGCGAGAGCGCATGGGATTGACAAAGCCAGGAATAGCGTCCAGACAACCAATCGACTCGTAAGCCTATTAAAATACACGTTTAGCATTTTGAAAATTGTTCAGAATTATGCACACCTTTTTGGCCGAAGACTGAAAGGACTCATCATCCAGGAATTTGGATTTTACCGAGCCGCAGGCCCACAGCTCCAGGTACATAATGCTAAGGAAATACGCCTGACAGTGATTACTGGCCCTGACCACATTTTCCAGCTTGATGGGAATGCTCCTATGTGGGTTACATTTCAGATAATTATAGATTATTATATATACATCGAAGAGCTGATTAGAGCTTCGTTCTTCCTACCAATTGTTGACGATCCGTATGCACTCGCAAATGTGCAAACACTTCTTAATAGCCCGCTTGTTGTGGAATATATTTTGGGTTTGGGCAGCTGCCGTGGAGCTGGCGAAACCTTCGAAAAAGTAGTCCAACATTTGACAGAGACTCTCCAGGTGCTGTTGCTGTTTGTTGGCCAACAACAACTTAATAAATGGCTGCAGGCAGGTCTCGGCAAACGGAAA